CAGATAGTCAGGGAGACAGCCGGATACGGACACACAGACGATCAGGTGAACAGGCACACAGACTGCCGGTCAGAGGCGGGCACCATGATCCACAGCCTGTTCCTGGTGAACTCCTCGGGCGACATCTTCCTGGAGAAGCACTGGAAGAGCGTGGTGAGCCGCTCCGTGTGCGACTACTTCTTCGAGGCGCAGGAGCGGGCGTCGGAGCCGGAGAACGTGCCGCCCGTCATCCCCACGCCACACCACTACCTCATCAGCGTGCTGCGCCACCGCATCTACTTCGTGGCTGTCATCCAGAGCGAGGTCCCGCCCCTCTTCGTCATCGAGTTCTTGCACAGGGTCGTGGACACCTTCCAGGTCAGAGGAGGGCTCTGTGTCCCTGCCTGGTGTCCCTCTGTCTGTCTCCCTGCCTGGTGTCTCCCTGCCTGGTGTCTCCCTGCCTGTGTCTCCCTGCCTGGTGTCCCAGCCTGGTGTCTCTCTGTCTGTGTCCCTGCCTGGTGTCTCTCTGTCTGTGTCCCTGCCTGGTGTCTCTCTGTCTGTGTCCCTGCCTGGTGTCTCTCTGTCTGTCTCCCTGCCTGTGTCTCCCTGCCTGTGTCTCCCTGCCTGTGTCTCCCTGCCTGTGTCTCCCAGCCTGGTGTCCCTCTGTCTGTGTCCCAGCCTGGTGTCCCTCTGTCTGTGTCCCAGCCTGGTGTCCCTCTGTCTGTGTCCTAGCCTGGTATATCTCTGTCTGTGTCCCTGCCTGCATCTGTTTCTCTGTCTCTGGGGAAGTCTGTGCTGGTGAGTCTGTCTGTGTTGATCACTGGGACTGTTCTGTCGTGTCCATGTGAGTTTGTCTGTCTCTGACTGCCTGTCTGTCCTGGTTCTGGCCTCTCCTCAGGTGTCCAGGCTGTCTCAAGGAAGCTATATTTATCACTGATCTTATTATTCTGTTGTTCACCTTACAGCTCAGCCATGCAGCCCTGTTACATTCCTTGCCCACAGTGTATTTTGGGCGGCAGTGTATAGTCTTTATTACTGGGTGCACAGTCATTGCAGAATGTGTGGGTATACTCCTGTCATGGCATGCATATTTCGGAAGGCTTCCTTCTAGCCTCTCGGTAGATGAAGTCACATTTGCTAGTGGAAACGCACTGGGGGCACAGTCTGGCACACATTCCCAAGAGGCACTGCTCACTAGCAAGCCATGCCATGAAATCACAGCCTTCCCAGAACTGTTGCTTGAAGATGGAATATAGGCCATATAAGTCAAAATGCAGAAGTTCATGTATCTTAGCTTTGTGTTTTTATTCCCGTGTGCTTTATCTTTCTTCATCATTGGTGCTGTTTTTGTGAGCTTTCTGTGTGCTCTATTGCCAGCTCTCTCTAGTTGCACAATCCTTTTTTTTTCTTTCTCTGCAGTTTTCTATTCTAACCTTAACCCCCTTTCTCTGTTTCCACAGGACTATTTTGGAGTGTGCTCAGAGGCAGCCATCAAGGACAATGTTGTGGTTGTGTATGAGCTGCTGGAGGAGATGCTGGATAATGGCTTCCCGCTGGCCACTGAGTCCAACATCCTGAAGGAGCTCATCAAGCCCCCCACCATCCTGCGCACTGTCGTCAACACTATCACAGGCAGGGCTGGGGCGCTCACACTCGGGGGTCCTGGGGGCTGCGGACTGATGGGGACAGAGCAGACTGAGACAGAGGGATCTGGACTGAATGTTTCTGAGGAGACAGGGATTGAAGGATAGGAGGACTGGGACTGAGGGATAGGAGGACTGGGACTGCATGTTACTGAGCTTACTGTGACTGAGGGACAGAAGGACTCGGACTGAAAGTTTCTGAGCAGACTGTGACTAAGGAACAGAAGGACTGGGACTGAATGTTTCTGAGCAGACTGCGACTGAGGGACAGAAGGACTGGGACTGAATGTTTCTGAGCAGACTGCGACGTAGGGATAGGAGTCCTGGGACTGAACGTTTCTGAGCAGACTGCGACGTAGGGACAGGAGTCCTGGGACTGAACGTTTCTGAGCAGACTGTGACGTAGGGACAGGAGTCCTGGGACTGAACGTTTCTGAGCAGACTGCGACGTAGGGACAGGAGTCCTGGGACTGAACGTTTCTGAGCAGACTGCGACTGAAGGACAGGAGGACTGGGAAAAATGTTACTGAGCAGACTGCGACTGAGGGACAGGAGGACTGGAACTGAATGTTAATAAGCAGACTGCGACTGAGGGAGAGGAGGACTGGGACTGAATGTTTCTGAGCTGACTGCGACTGAGGGAGAGGAGTACTGGCACTGAATGTTTCTAAGCTGACTGTGAATGAGGGAGAGGAGGACTGGGACTGAGAGGCAGGCAGACTGGGATTCAAAGTTACTGAGCTAAGTCCATCACAAGAGGGCGTCTGGAGGGACTGAGTGCAGCAGAATTTGGGGAGTGGGACCAAGACTTGTTTTATTGTGTATCAGTTAGTTGTGGTCTACTTGTTGTAGATCCGTTGTTTAGGGACAACATGACTGGGACTTGACAAAGTTTCTCTGTGATGTTACGGTGTTGTTAAGTGAGTGTGTGGTGAGATTTCTGCTGTGTTGCAGGCAGCACCAACGTGGGAGAGCAGCTCCCGACTGGCCAGCTGTCAGTGGTGCCGTGGCGCCGCACTGGTGTAAAGTACACCAACAACGAGGCCTACTTCGACGTGGTGGAGGAGATCGACGCCATCATCGACAAGTCAGGTACCTGGCTGATATAGCCTCTCCCCCTTCCCCCTCCTCTCGGGCGCTCCCTCTAACCTCCCTCCCCGCCTTCTGTCCGCCCAGGCTCCACCATCACCGCCGAGATCCAGGGAGTGATCGATGCCTGTGTGAAGCTGTCGGGGATGCCCGATCTCACCCTCTCCTTCATGGTTAGAGCGCCTCCCTCTGGCTGTTTAGCCACCCCGCTGGTGCGCCTCTGCGTGTCCCACTGTGTTCGTTCTGAGTCTCTCCCCTCGTCTCTCTGCCACAGAACCCGCGTCTCCTGGACGATGTCAGTTTCCACCCATGTGTTCGCTTCAAGCGCTGGGAGGCCGAGAGGATCCTGTCCTTCATCCCCCCCGACGGCAACTTCCGCCTGCTGTCCTACCACGTCAGCTCGCAGAAGTGAGTCAGGCCACGTCAGCCCTGGTCTCCGTAGCTGGCTCTTATCAAGACCAGCTGTTGGGCACAGGCTGTAGTCTGTCTGCCGGGCACATTAGGCTGACAGTCTGACAGGGTTTAGTGGCTGACTGGCTTATACACAGACTGTTTGACCTGCTAGTCTTGCTGTCTAACCCTCTGATAATGACTCTCTGAGTAACTCACTGCCAGCCGGTCTGATGTTCTACAATAGTAGCCAGCAGCCTTATCACCCTGCAACTCACAACTGGCAACCCACTGAAGCTAAGCAGGTGTGAGCCTGGTCAGTACCTGGATGGGAGACCTCCTGGGAAAAACTAAGGTTGCTGCTGGAAGAGGTGCTAGTGGGGCCAGCAGGGGGCGTTCACCCTGCGGCTCATGTGGGTCCTAATGGCCCAGTATAGTGACGGGGACACTATGGTGTAAACAGGCGCCGTCCTTCGGATGAGACGTAAAACCGAGGTCCTGACTCTCTGTGGTCATTAAAAATCCCAGGGCGTTTCTCGAAAAGAGTAGGGGTGTAACCCCGGTGTCCTGGCCAAATTTCCCCTATGGCCCTTACCAATCATGGCCTCCTAATAATCCCCCTCTTTGAATTGGCTACATTACTCTGCTCTCCTCCCTGCTGGCCCCACTAGCACCTCTTCCAGCAGCAACCTTAGTTTTTCCCAGGAGGTCTCCCATCCAGGTACTGACCCCTGATGTGTGGTGAGCGTTCTGGCGCACTATCGCTGCCGTCGCATCATCCAGGTGGGGCTGCACACTGGTGGAGGTGGAGGGGAGTCCCCATTACCTGTAAAGCGCTTTGAGTGGAGTGTCCAGAAAAGCGCTATATAAGTGTAAGCAATTATTATTATTATTATTATTATTATAGTAACCCTCTGCCAGCCAGTCTGACCCACTGCTAGGTGATCTGACCCTCTGCCGGGTGGTCTGACCCTCCACCTGTATGTCTGATGTTCTACAATAGTATCTCTCTGCCGGCCGGTCAGTATGGCTGGTGAGTGTCTCACTGCCTGGCCATGCAGCTCAGTGGCTGACCATCTAGCTGCTCTGGGTTAGTTATGAGCTGCAAGGTAGCTGCACAGACTGCACTGCACTGCGTCTCCTCTCTGGCTCAGTGCCAGCCCTGCCTGCACTCTGGGGGTGCTGGGAGCCGCGCTGTGCCGGCAGCGTTAACCCTTTCCCCGCTGCTGTCCCCCCCAGCTTGGTGGCTATCCCAGTTTACGTGAAGCATAACATCAGTTTCCGGGAGGGCAGCTCCCTGGGGCGCTTCGAGCTGACCCTGGGGCCCAAGCAGACCATGGGCAAGGCGGTGGAGGCTGTGCTGGTGACCTCCCAGCTGCCCCGTGGCGTGCTGACCGCCAACCTCACCCCCTCGCAGGGCACCTTCACGTTCGACCCCGTCACCAAGGTAACCCCCGTCTGGTCTCCAGGCCGGCGTGCAGCTGTCCATAACGTAACACACTTTATTTTATACAGTGAGTTTAATGGTAATCGCCTCCGCACGCTTTGCCTAACACTGTGCGTGTTGTATAGATGCTGACGTGGGATGTTGGGAAGATCAACCCCCAGAAACTGCCCAGTCTGAAGGGAACTATGAGCCTGCAGGCCGGGGCCTCCAAACCTGATGAGAATCCGACGATTAACATCCAGTTCAAGATACAGCAACTCGCCATCTCCGGTAATCAAGCGTTCTCCGTGCTGTGCTCGTCGCTTTCTGTAATGGCGTGCTCTGTCCACCAGGTGGAGTGAGTCGCCCTTGGCACAGGTGCTCACTGTCTGACTGGTCACTGTGCTGAGCTCTGAATTTGACAACCCCCGCGACAACACACCAGTGCTTCCCAGCCCTGATCCTGGGGGAACCCTGGCTCCTGGTTTTTGTTCCGGAGGCCTCCTGAGTAAAGACACTCGCCCGAGTGTAGGCTGCGCTGTGCGATCGCGGGTTCGAGCCTGGCTCTAGTCGCCAGCCGGCTGTGACCAGGATCCCCCAGGCACACAACTGGCTGAGGGTAGAGTGGGTTTTGTCGGCCAGAGCTCTCCCAGTTCTCGGTGACGCAGCGCCCCCCTGTGGCCTCCTGGGGGCTTGCAGGCTCGCGGGGCTGCGGTATGGGGATGTGCTGCCTGTGATGTGTTAAAAGGCGACTGGCCCACGGGTGGGCAGGTGGAAGGAGGCTGTATACTCTTCTTCATTCTCCCCTGTATACGTAAATAAACGGCCATTTCAAAGAAAAAAACCATACTAATCGGGAGCAAAAGCTGGAAGTCCAGGGCTGGGAAGCACTGCAGTACAATATGAATGGCGAAACGTCTTGTGTTCTCAACTCCCCTCTTCTGTTCTTCCTCATCTCTTCCTGCCTTTCCCTTCTTCCTCTCCTCTCCCCTCTTCCCTTTTCACTTTCTCTCTACCCCTCTCTCTCATTCTCTCACTTCTCTCTTGCCTCTCTTCCACTCTCCCTTCTCTCTCTCTGTCTGCCTCCACTCTCATTCTCTCTCTCTCCCTCTTCCTCCTCTCTCATTCTCTCACCCTCTCTTCCCCTCTCTCTTCCTCTCTCTCTCCCTCCTCCTCCTTTCTCATTCTCTCCCTCTCTCTACCCCTCTCTCTCATTCTCTCACTTCTCTCCTGCCTGTCTTCCACTCTCCCTTCTCTCTCTCTCTGTCTGCCTCCACTCTCATTCTCTCTCTCTCCCTCTTCCTCCTCTCTCATTCTCTCACCCTCTCTTCCCCTCTCTCTTCCTCTCTCTCTCCCTCCTCCTCCTTTCTCATTCTCTCCCTCTCTCTACCCCTCTCTCTCATTCTCTCACTTCTCTCCTGCCTGTCTTCCACTCTCTCCTTCTCTCCTTCTCTTCCTCTCTCTATCCCTCCCCCTCCTGTCTCGTTCTCTCTCACCCTCTCTTCCTCTCTCTACCCCACTCTCTTGTTCTCTCCCTTCTCTCTTCCTCTCTCTATCCCTCTCCCTCCTCTCTTCCTCACTCTATCCTTTTCCCTCCTCTCTCATTCTCTCTCCCTCTAACCCTCTCTCCCTCCTCTCTCCTCTCTCTCTCCTCCCTCTCTCGCTCTCCCTGGCCGCAGGTCTGAAGGTGAATCGTCTGGACATGTACGGGGAGAAGTACAAACCCTTCAAGGGCATCAAGTACATGACCAAAGCGGGCAAGTTCCAGGTCCGAACATAGAGCCCAGCCTGGCAGCTCCCTGGACTGAGAGGGAGGGGTCGGCCTCCCTCACGCTTCCCTGGGGTGTCCCCAGGGAGGAGAATTTCCTATTGTGCCGTTTTGTGCTGTTTTCCCCACACAAGATGATTGTGCTGTTCCTCCTCCCCTCTGCCGTTCATCCCTACCTCCCCACGTACATTTCTCTGTCTACCTCTGTCCTCTGACCCTTACTCTGCAGACTTAAGAATGGAGGAAGACCTGCTGTTCAGAGCTAACAGATGCAGTTCCATGATCCCGTCTGGTGACCCAATCTTGAGATTTACAGGGGGCGGGGCTGGAAGTGTGATGGGTGTGGCCTGTTGGGTGGGGGTGTGGTTTACAGCAGGGGGTGGGGACAATTCCATTGTGAATAATTCCATCAGAGGAATCTCATCTGATTAATCCACATTGACCTTTTGGGACGAAACTAAAAACAGTCTAGGTCTGCTTTTCATCCTGAAGATCATTCCCTGTTACTCCGGCCTAAGTACAGTTATCAGTAGTCTCAAGATATCAGTTCATGAAGTCTCAAGGTGTTGTCAGTAGTTTAATCTAGTTCTGGATCATACAAATAATCCGATTGCCGCTGAGAGTGGTCAGGTCTGAGAAAAATGTTTCTACTTTTTTCATTAATAACACTTGCGGAACCGTGTGCAAAATTGCTCTCCTCCCCAGTCTGGCCACTTGAGTAGTAATAACAATTATTCATAACGATCGCAGCTTCGACAAAACCAGTTCACAGGATGCAGCTCGCCATCTTGCCAGATTTAGGACTGAAAGGACAAGTTGGAACGGCTTGGCCACTCGAGTGCAGGATCGGGAGCGTCTCGGCAGGGATTGGGGTTGGGGTTGGGAGCAGCAGGGGTCCTGTCCCTTATCGGCGACCGCTGGGACGCGCCAGGCGCCTGCGCGCTCGCGGTCCCGTCAGCCAGACAAACGATGCGCCTCCAGTCTTCCCATGATGCACCGCGTGGGCCTTGCGGGGTCGCGACTTCGGGAGAACATCCGCATAACGGTGCGGGCTGAGCGGCAGCTATTGCAACGAGTCTCCGTTTTCGGTCGGGAACGATGGAATATCGTGGGATCCAGTCTGGCTGCCAGATTTTGAGGCTGACAGCGGACTGGGAGAGAAGCCCCGCTGTTGAGCTCTTCTTCCGCGAGCGTGAGCTCAGGGAGTTCGAGAAAGGGCCCAGACGGGCCTGGTTTTGGCTGTGCTGGTCATATTACTGATAAAAATAACCCGCCCACCCCTGTCGGTGTGTTCCCCCAGCTGCGTGACTCGGGGCTCAGACGCAGTGCGGCCTCTCTGCTGCGCAGGCCGCTGTGTGTTGCTGCCTCTGGCTGCGCAGCTCCTGGCGCCTTGGTCCTGCAATCAGCCAGGCACCCTGTGAGAGAGTCGCAGCGAGACCGGGGGCACTGAGGTGAAGGTCTCGTGTGTTTTTACCCAAGCTGACGCCCAGCGCAGGCTCCGTTTCAGCCCCCGCCGTGCAGTTCTGCAGCTCTCCTGCAGGGGGCGACGTCTCTAGCAGTGCATTGCTCTCAGCAGCGAGCTGAATCGTGTCCCACGCTCCCTTGCTGGCCTGGCGCAGTGGGACAGCAGGATGGCAGTGGAGCTCCTGTGGTGCCCCCGATGGAGTTTTTGGAATGTCACAGGGAGCCCCAGGTTTAGGAAATTTCTTTTACATTTTCAACTGTAAAATCTTACAAGCAGATCCCCCGTGAAGAGCTGCCCGAGCCTTGACTTTCACACTCCTAGAAACGGGGAGGTTGGGCGGATATTCCTGATGAAGCCCTGAAGTCTACTCCCCCCTCAGTTCCAGTTGCTCAGCAGTTTCGATCCACTCCAGGTTTTGCGGTGTGTGCTCTTCCTCGGTCAGGATTGTGAAATACCCAGCGCTCACACCCGTGTCCTGAGGCTCCTACAGTCCTCCATGGTGTTGCACACCGGCGGTCTGCTTCTCCCCAGACCGCGCGTCCGGGAGCAGAGCGCAGGTGGGCCCCACTTCCTCCTCCACCCTGAGAACGAGGGGCGTGGGCCTGCTGTTCCTGCCCCCTTGTCAGCGCCCCTTCACTTGTTCGTGTGCTTGTTTCGCTCGGGTTTGGTTTGTTGCTGTGTTCTGGTCGACCGTTTTCGCAGACCAAAAAAACAAAACAACAACTGTATGGTGAAACTGAGCAATGAAATAAATCGAAATGAAGTGGGAACAGACTGGGCTGCCTCTGCATTTGTGGGACATGGTGGGGGGGTTGATTTCAGTCCTGGGGGGTGTCTCTCTCCAGAGCTCCTGGCCTCCTCCCAGTGCTGAAGCTTGGCCGATGTCAGCTGGCGCTACGGGTCTCGTGTTCCGTCTCTCTGGTTGCTTTCCTTATTTCCTGCTGAGTTGCTCGTTGTGCGAATGAGGTCCCCTCCCTGCCCCAGGGGCAGTGTGTCCCTCCGTCACTCCGTCTGCCAGTCTTTGCATCGTTCTGTCAAAACTGAAGGACGGTCTGAGCTGAGCTTACACCTTTCCAGCGCTGGGCTTGGCTGTGAATGAGTGAGCACGCAGTGGACAGCAGCAAGGGACGGAGATAGGACAGAGAGAGAGGTGGGTCGAGACGAGGACACAGAGGTCAGCAGGACAGGTGAGGAAGAGGAGACAGAGGAGGATGCAGACAGACGTATACTGACAGGTGAGGGAGAGGAAGATGCAGACAGACGTATACTGACAGGTGAGGAAGAGGAGAGAGGAAGATGCCGACAGGTATAATAGGTGAGGAAGAGGAGAGAGAAAGGTGCAGACAGGTATACAGGACAGGTGAGGAAGAGGAAAGGAAGATGCCGACAGGTATAATAGACAGGTGAGGAAGAGGAGAGAGGAAGGTGCAGACAGGTAAACAAGACAGGTGAGGAAGCAGAGAGAGGAAGATGCAGACAGGTATACTCGACAGGTGAGGAAGAGGAGAAAGGAAGGTGCAGATAGGTATACAGGACAGGTGAGGAAGAGGAGAGAGGAAGATGCAGACAGGTATACTTGACAGGTGAGGAAGAGGAGAAAGGAAGGTGCAGACAGGTATACAGGACAGGTGAGGAAGAGGAGAGAGGGAGATGCAGACGGAGGTATACTGGACAGGTGAGGAAGCGGAGAGAGGAAGGTGCAGACAGGTCTACTGGCCAGGTGAGGATGAGGAGAGAGGAAGGCACAGTTACTTTTTTACCTCGGGGCTATGAAGGAGCTACAGAGAGCCGTTGAACAAAACACCACAGTAAGACTGTTAATATTAAAATTTTTATTAACTTGTTTTGGAAACAGCAACACAAAAATCATAAACTGTAAAAAATTAAATATTCAGATCGTACATAATCAGAAATAAATAAATAACAGCAACAACCATAGTAATAGTACTGTGCTTTATAAAAAAAGTTTTAAAAGTGCAGTACAAAAGTCAACACAACATTTCCCTGTTTCTATAAATATATATTTTATTCCTTATATTTAAAAAAATCCTTTAAAATGTTTAAACAGAAACGGGTGAGCTCCCTGTAACTGGGATGAATCCAGATGTTCAACTCCACACAGCTGGAGTCAGGTCACTGACGCCTCTCCTAGACTTGGGGTGTCTTGGGCTGCGTGACGTCAGTTCACCCCCTGCTCTGGAGCCCCCAGAGAGCTCCAGAGTGTGCGAGCGTGGCTGACGATCTGCCAGCAGATACTGCTGCTGTGTGCCCCATCTGCTCTTTCCTGCGCTGAGATCTACTTCCTGTCGGACTTCCTGTGAGAGTGAGCGGGTGCCACGCCTCGTGTCCCTCCCTGTGTGTGTGCACATGTGCGTGTGTGTGCACGTATGTCTGTGTCAGTGCATGTGTGCGTGTGTGTGTGCGTATGTCTGTATGACAGTGTGTGTTTGCACTTGTGCGTGTGTGTGCGCGTGTCTGTGTGTCAGTGTGTTAGTGCACATGTGTCTGTAGGCTCCTGGGTCTGTCCGTGCGTCTCCGGGCTCTGTGTCTGGGTGGCGGTGAGGGGCTGTGTCTGTCCCGGTGGGTCAGCGGTCAGTGGGTAGCGCTGCGGGTCCGCGCGGTGATCCAGGGGATGTAGCGGGTGACGCGGGTGTACACCCCGGGCGTGTCCTTCTTCCCGCAGCCGTCGCCCCAGCTGATCACCCCCAGCAGCGTCTGGCGCCCAGCGTGCGCACACACCAGCGGACCGCCGGAGTCGCCCTGCGCCCAGGAGAGGGAGAGAGACAGGTTAGAGCCCGACCCGAGCAGCACCAGAGCTCTAGAGCAACGAGATCTAATCCATTCTATATTATTAGATCGAATCCA